CACGTCATGGATGCCAGCTCCTCCCTGACGATGTTGCGGAAGCTGCCTGCAGAAGGCGTTATGCGGAGCTCATAAGACGACGAGGTGGCCTGGAGTTGCAGCTCCTCACGGATCATGGACCATATAAACGACCGGAGCTCATTGTCATGCGTTGGGCTGAGATCTCCTGTGTCAGGTTGTAAACGTATAAGTAAAAGGTCATCGAGTCGCTGACACGTACTGATGATATCCGCGTCCGTGGTGGGGTTCTTTGCCGCTAAAGCGTTGAATGCGACGGCACATATGCCCTTGAGCAGGTGGTGAACGCGGTCGTGTTCCGCCATCGAGCTGTCGATGCGACGGCATAGGGCGAGGACATCCTCAATGTACGAGGTATAAGACTCGCCGGAGTGCTGAACACGTTCAGGAAGCTTCCGTTTGGCTATGTCTGCACGGACGGAAGGGTTGGCAAATATCTGACGGAGCTGCTGCTTGAAGGTAGGCCAGTCGGGGAAATCCAGTTGATAGTTGAGAAACCATGTCTTAGTGACCCCCGTCAGATAGAACGGTACGCGGGGCAGCTTCACAGAATCATGCCAATAGTTAAGCGCACTCACACGGTCGTACTCATCCAACCAGTCTTTAACGTCTTCACCGCGAAGGCCGGCGAACATCGGTGGATCTTTTTGAGGGGCGGTGACAGTCCAAGAAGGCATGCCCAGGGGTGCAGGCGTGGTGGATGAAGCCGTGTTGTGCTCGTCTTGCGACATGACCGTGGGCTGACTGCGCAGACGGCGACCCAACCGGAGCTCCAGGGATGGTTGGTAGTCGAATATAACGAAAAAGCGCTACAGAGAGAGGACCAGGGAACCGGAAAGCACTCTCCACCACTTGTAAGGCAACGTTTTGGCTGCAAGACACTTCTTTTACTTGCCGAGCCTCTGCCCCACAACACAGGTGAGGCTGATGATGATGAGCACGTACATATGATAAAATGACGCGCATGAATAATGCTCATAATATATATGTGACGCTATGATGAATGGAATACGTGGCCTGGCTCATACGCTATGTTTATTCTCAAGCACTTCTTCCTCATCTACTTCTCCCAACCATCCCTGCCTTCTTACGTCACAGGATTCCCCCTCCGCCCGAAAGATGGCACCGGTTACAAACTACAACAAATTCACAGTTTGTGAACTACAACAAAAGTTTACAGTTTCACATCCCTACGGAGTTTCACAATCTCACTGAATTTTCAAGGCTGAGGGAGCAGTCCCGTGATTTCTATGACGACTCTGGTGGACGAGCTTGACTGTTGCGTTCTGGATGGCATAACCACACTCTGGAAATCTTAACTGGTGATGACATCGGTTGAGTTTTTGTGAGGAACGGACAAGGTTGGGAGTGCCTGTAGCATTTGAAGTTCGGAGGTCGTCGGGGTTGTCTGTTTCGTCGTGAATGGTACCATCTCAGAGCTTCTTGCTTTCGTGCTTTTTCACTGACTGTGACGAAGTGCCTGAGTGATAGCGGGGTGCAAGCAGGGCTTCCGCGTCTTTCTCGGCGTTTTCTGCGGTGGTGCAGTCGGTGTAATAGCAAGTGCAGAGAATGTCTCTGGTGATTTTTCTTTGTGCGAAAGTGTTTGACGTCTTGAATTGGTCTTTGGTTTCGAGATCTTATTTTCTGATGTTCTTCAATTGGTGAGTGCACTTCCGTTGAATTTTGCGTTCGTCGATGCCCTCGTTGCAGTCTCTCTCGTTGTAGCATGAGTTTGTGAAGTGGGCTTTGCTTGCTTTGCTGAGGCTGTTCAGGAAATGGCTGTAGTGGCACCCGTTCCGTAATGGGGCATTCATTTCCTCCGGTGTTTGACGCGTCCTGTAGACAGCTGATGAATGGCGAATTGGTGTCTTGCTTGTCGGGCATATGTGGTAATGCGTCATCATCGTTAGCATGCTCTTCAGAGGCTTCGGTGACGGGGTTCATTACGGGCGCTTCCGAAAGACAACTGTGTACGAGGTTTGATGTATCATGCACTTATGAATTTGTTTGATTCATGAATTGGTGAGCTCTGCATGTGGGCGCCACAGGTGACATGGCATTATTAGGTTTGAACTGCAGATTTTGGCAAGTCTGCGGTGCCGTAGAAATGACCCGAAGCTCTTCAGGGGCTTCTTTTTCGCTGTTCGCTGCGAGTAGTTCTTGCGCCTGGTAGCGTACGACGTTCGATGCGTCTGAGCCTTCTGTTTTGTTTGGACTCTTGACAGTGTGTGCACCGGACGGTGATGCATTAAACCGTATGGAAGAAGAATGGCTTGACACGGTATTTTTCCGATGCGCCAGGTCATCTACCATGAATACGGCGTCCTTACAAGGCAAGTGATGAGCGCTAGGAGCGCTTGAAGAACCGCGTGACGAAAACCCACGTGGTGGACCACGTATGCGAGACAAAGAGTGAAGGGCATCAGATGGTTTAGCAACGTCTCGGGTCATATGCTGAAGCGATGACTTTCGCGCAGAAGGGAGGCGCGCTTGACGGTTAGGTTTTTCCCAATATACGCATGGCCTTCTGTAAGTAAACTCATGTGTCACTTCGTCTTGAGGCAGTTGTCGATTCGCGCTGTGCTTTCGAATGGTTGAGGACTGCTTAAGGAATTGACGATAGTGTGCGGTTTCTCTAGATGGTTGGCAATGAGTAGGTCTTGGTCATAGTTGTTAAAACGAGTAATCATCTCCTCTTTGATTTTTCGCCATGACTCGTCGTTCTCGAATACGTGGGTGAGGTAAAATTTAAATGCCTCACCGGTGACGTAGTCACTGAAGTTCGTAACCATCTCCCGTTCCAACCAAGATGCAGCAGTAGCGTGGAGTTCGAACAGGTTGAACCAGTCCTGTACGGGTCCGTCGTCCGCTGATCCGGTGTACTTGGGGATTGCGACGTCAGCCGATGGTTCTGTCGTGGTGCTGGTCGTTGTCCTCCTAGGCGATGATTCGGTAGTCAATGTACGGTCAGGGCGTCTTCTGGGGAACTGCGTCGATGATGAGTGACTCATGAAGGGGCAGGCAGGTCTCCATCCTGTCGACTCGTGTGACGCTATGATGACTGGGAGACGTGGCCTGGCTCATACGCCATGTTTATTCTCATATTCTCAAGCACTTCTTCCTCATCTACTTCTGCCAACCATCCCTGCCTTCTTACGTCATATATATATATATATATATATATATATATATATATATATATATATATATATATATATATATATATATATATATATTGAAACGCACGGGACAATAAATACAAAATTGCTGCCAAGTCCTAAGTACAAAAATAATAAAGAACTAATGGCATATATTGTGTAAAAAGTACAAAAGACAGGGCACCCTGAAAGAATGGGCAGAATTTTCGCATAAGGCTGCGTTGCAGAATAAATAACAGTCGACCTTGAATCAGAAAAAGGAAGAAGAAAAACAAGAAAGAGAAAGATATGTACCAGGTGAGACATAAAAATTACGGACTTGATCTTCACTGTGGTCAAGAACATGACTGATTCACAAAGTGTATTTTGCAAGTCAAATTAAATTTGCGGGTAAGTGTAACAATTGAAATAGTGTTCCAGATTTTAGCACCAGTGAAATAAATTAACCATTCGCGATATACATTCCTGCAATTGGGAAGGCTAAAGTTGCCAATGCCTGCATGCCTTGTGTTGCGGGTAGGTACAGAAAACGTACTCACATTTATTGGAAAGTTGGTGTTAATGATTGAATTCATTAATACCATAGCTTCATAATTTCGCTCAGACGTGAAAGGCAGTATCCGAGTTGAAGAAAACAGATTCCAGCTTGTGGTAGAAGAAGACGCATTGATTTGTAGGGCGCGTATTTGTAACTTTACGATCGTTACGATGTACGTTGGATAAGTAAAGCCCCATATCTCGCTACAATAACTGATTTGAGGGTGAAATACAGAGAAGTGTAATGATCGAAGCACTTTATAAGGAAAGCAACATCTGGCTTCAATAAGCATGAAGCAGGCGAAAGCGAGCTTCTTGGATATGTAATTAACTTCATCTTTCCAATTAATGTTTTCGTCTATTTGAAACTCCAATATTTAAACGTGGAAACGCGTTCAATGGGTGAGTTGCTCATTTCCAAGTGCAGATGGTTATAATCTAGAATTTTTCTCTTGGAATGAAATATAACGTACATAGCTTTTTCTATATTTAATGCAAACTAGTTCCGGGCGAAACCATGTGGAAATATGTGATAACTCTGCCGTGACTTGTTCTTTTAGCGAACGAAGAGAGTTACTTCGAAAAAGTAATGTGGCGTCATCAGCGTAAAATATGGTTTTGCATGAAAGAACAGGCAGTAGGTCATTTGTGTAAAACGAAAATAACGTAAGGCCTAGCACGGTTCCTTGGGGTATTTCGCATGTTGTTTTTCTAAAGTCTGAAGATATGCGATCAAAATCAACAAATTGTTTTCTACCTGCCAGATAACTAGAAAAAAACTGAAGTGTCTTGTCAGTGAAACTATAATAAAACTTCGATTTCTTTAGTAGTATGAAATGAAAAAACGTATCAAATGCTTTTTTGATATCTACAAAAACACTGAAGGCGATTTCATTATCATGAAGTACTGAGTTTACGAACCGTGCTAGAGTAAAAGTAGCTGTGGTCGTGGACCGATTGGTGATGAAAATATGTTTTTTGGTGCAGATTAGGTCAATTGAGCTCAAAAGGGCATAGACGGGACCTAATTATTTTTTAAAAAGCGTGTTTATGATGTTGTTCGCATAAGTAGCGTTTAGACAGAAACGAAGGTACAGCGTTGGCATATGTGGAGAAAGTCTGAATGGGAGTGTTTTTCAGAGATACAGGCTGATTCAGTGGATGATGGTGTAATGATGTGTCGGAAGGTACTAGAGCTTCAGATTTTCTTCAAACGCAATTATTTAAGCCGCATGAGAAGCATCAATAATGAACACTAGCACATGAGTAACCAAAGAGGTTTCTTACCCCCAAGGACTGCAGATGTTTCCGAGGTCCGATACCGGATAGCATTAGTAGCTGTGCGGAAGCAATCGCTCCAGCGCAAAGTATAACTTCTTTTCTTGCTCGAACAGTATGTGTTTTGAAGTATCGCCTGTACTCCACGCCTGCAGCTGTCATTCCCTCGAAGATAACCTGAAAAAAAAATGTCCTACTTTTGACGCTTGCTTTAGCCTTTTCAATTGAGAACATGCAGAAAAAACTTTTTAAATGCGGTACATTTCTTAGTCGCACGATGTTGCGCTTTGTCGTCGCTGTCCTCGACACCACCAGTGCTCACACTCGCGTCTCATGCCAACCCAGGAAGACACCCGCAAAACTGTCGCTCCATGAGCCACCAGGCGCTTCGCAAGCCGAGCATGCGCAGTAGAGATGTGGACCTCTCGGTCGACTTTTTTTTCCCCGAACGCGGGCGATGTGTATAAGAGCGGCTGACTGTGCGCATGGCTAGTTTTTGGAATTCAGCCAAGGGCATCTTTAATTGGCTGTCGCTTGACTTGCACTTTGCTTAACTCGAGGGGATGCGACGCCAGCAACAGTACCTTCAACGAGTAGTGCACCCAACATCAGCGTCCCACCACTCGTTGAAGGCAACACTTCTCTATCAATCATTAAATAAGAATAATGAAGACAAAATAACAAATAATGATTCCCAAAACATGCCCAGTTACGAAACATCTACGTGATACCTCTAACACTATACAACGCATTTACTCGAGTTCCGCCCGTGAGAAGATGCGGGCAGTCATTTTTACAGCTTCATGCTTATGAATATAAATGCGATATTTAAAGGAAATAATATATATATATATATATATATATATATATATATATATATATATATATATATATATATATAAAAAAACAGACTGACTGAAATAATTCTCGCACCTTCGTCACGTGCGCGTGAAGTGCGACGTCCAAGTTGCGCCTTCTGCGAACGTCATTGGTGATGAAGGCTTTACTTGAGCTCCAGCGCTCTCCATTCTTTACGTTATTTTGTACGCGGGAAAAACCTGAAAGAAATAAAAGTGCATACAGATAAGTTTGCATTTCTCTTGTTTATTCATAATAAAGAATATCAGCTGCAAGGGCTAGCTTTCAGAAAGTTGACACCACCCCATTGCGTGAAGTGCTATGCACTATGATTTGGTTACAGCGGATGCATCATCAACTCTAAATTCCATCTGTGCTGTTTTTATGATTTAGGAGACCGGCTTTGCCACCACGCCTGTGCGCCGCACAGCACTTGAAGGCACTGAATTACTTAGTCGGTCTCCGTGAATGTATTTGTACACTACAGCAGTGCTCCGTTCTGCTGTACAGAAGGTATACGCAAAACAGCCCGTTGTCAGACTGCACATGTGGCCGCAGGGTAAGAAATAGCGTGAAGGCTTAGATATAGCACTTCCGCAAGGAAAAAATCACTGCTTATGATTGGTGCTCTGACACTTAGAGAGAATCAGAAAGTGCGCACTGGTAGTGTTGCCCGTGCGCGCTGGCAGGCTAATGACGTCTTTCACCCGCCAGTAGCCAATGTGCTGTGGTGGTGATATCTGTATTCGTCCCAGGAAGAAGAATAAAATTGAAGGCACCAGGGAAGCGACTGGTTGCGCTATTTGAGAGGAGGTTGGCAGGGATCCTCTGGGATACTGCAGGCTCCACCGCGTGCTGGATGAGCCGGCATTAGTCTTCTGGCTCGGAGGCACGCAAAAGAGACTCTCACGACACTGAAGTGTTCGTGTTGTGTGTGTTGAAATGCGTTCATGTCCTCATCATACGTATGAGTGTCCCCGGATATGAGCAATATCGACCTCCATAATAACCGCTAATCTCTTGTTTGTTTCCGTGGGGCCTACGAATTTTTTTTTCCAGAATTGTGCTACCCTGTTGCTTTGTAGGCATGACTTAAGAACCGAAATTGCTTTGCGCATAGCGACAGAACGCTCTGCTGCCTAATTGCAATATATGTGGGGATGACTAACGTTTTGTGCAAATTGCCGCAGACTATTGCGCAGTCGAACTTTCAACATGTCGGTGGACTGTAAATTCGTCTGCCAATAGCGATAGCTTGTTGTTCAGTCAAGTTAACCCTCAATTAATGGATAGGTAAATTATTTAAACAATGAAGAGAAGAAAACGAAATTAGATTAGCGACAAAGCATACTAAATCACGTACAACCCGATACTAACTCCGAAGTGGAGTATTGCGACAAACTCAGAAGGGTGCTCTAGTAACCTTTCTTTACCGCTTCCGTATGAGGATGGAGAAAAATCGGCCATCTTCGTTAGACGCTGATGCAACGCAGCCTGCACAGTGTGGAATGATACGATTCACTATTTTCAGCACCGCCGCAGAGCGTTGTTCAAAAACGTAATGTATGACCTCTGAGATTCCTTGGATTCGCACAGATCTCGGAGCGGAATTTAACGTTTTTGTTGAGTATGCTGTGGTGGCGCTGCCACTTATTACACGTCACAGTCAAATTTGTTCTGTTTTGCTATACATCTGAAGTTCCATTTTGTCGAAATGCATACCAACTGAAGCTATTTTCTCAAATATTTAAAAAGTATTAGGCTATACCAAGCTACACTACCAAAATAAAAACTTGACATCTTATTCTGTCATTTGAGCCCTTATTGTAATATCAATTTATTATACTTCTGCATCACCTTGGCGAAACCACGCGCAACACTTCAAACGACGATCACACGATTCAGGCGACCGGCCGCAGCCTCCGAAGTGATTGACACTGTTCAGACATCACATTTTAAACTTTGTTCCGAACACCCCATTGTTCTAGTACACTCTAGTTGTGTTAGCATTAGCGCGTTACGGTAGAAACTTTATTTTGTTCCTGTTAAGAGCCTGTAAGCATGCTTCCTAAAGTACGTGCTTTGATTTCTGAGTGCCTTACTTGTCTGGTTTGGCCCATTATAGTCGTTGTTGCTGTAACCAAGTTCCCGACCAGCCTCCAAAAACAGGTCACTGGCCTTTGTGTGTGAACTGGGAAAAGTAACAGGCACTTCTCCACTGTCTCCATGGTAACCTGTAAAAAACTTGTCTTAAGTAATTGCTTCCATTGCGTATGGTAGTTAAGTAAGGAACACTCAAAAGTAAATTCAGGTAAATTCATATATGAAAGCGTGTTATGGCGGGGTCTAGCAAGAGCTCACTGACGTCAGTCACTTCACTGAAATAACGTAGGTAAAAAGCGCACCAATTTAAGACGCAAAAAGTCTAGAATACACTTTTTTTACGCATATTACCTGTGAATCGAACCCGTGGCCACTTGATCAGCGCCAATGCATCTCAGCCGTTACACATATACTCTTGCTTAGTCACATATACAACGCTTTACTAACGTGCTTCATATCACTCCCACGTTTTTCTCATCGTAGTGCAGCTGGTCAGAGGGATCAGTATCGTTGGTTTGAACAGCTGAAATGAAGTATTGCTTGACGAACCTAAAGTGAACCGACAGTGACATGTTAGGTAGTCGGTAAAAAGCAGGCTTTGTGTGCAGTTTTGTAGGATACACTACGGTAGGTTCCCCATGACGATATAATTCAGTAACAATGCAGTTACGAGCGTAGTCTTTCGCGTCTTCTTAGCATGTTACGACTTGTCGTCAGCCCTAAAGATGGATCTTCTACGCCTGCTCTATTGAGGGCGGTGTAATGGACTACAAAACTGCTCCGTCAGGTGCCACGCAGCAAGGCGATGATGTAAAAGAGGTAATGTCGCAGAAGTCATTGCTTTGGTTAAGCGACAGACACTACAGCGGGAAGTAGGACGGCTTCACGCGTTCGCAAGTCAAGCTACTAACTCGGCTCCTCGCGCTTTCAAGTGCTCTGTGGAACTGTCTGTGAGAGTACAGAGCTTGACCCAAGGCTGGAAAGCATCAGATTAGCTTTTTATTTCTTGAATTAATGACCCTTCATATGAGTGTATGTTAAGTGTCAGTGAATTTTATATTTATTTTGATGCCAACTTTGCGCAGGGTGCACGATATGTTGTGTCACAGTTTCGACTTCAACTACTTTGCTAACGTTTATTCATGGTTATGCAAGTTAGTCATTGGACTGCAAGTGTGCTGGTCTACCAGTGGCAACCTAGATACTAAACTTCAAAGGCTTGCATAGCTCCATGGACGTTGCGAGAGCGTTCCTATAACTAACCACAACTGCTGTCAAGACTCGATTTGCTTTTGTGGTATGAGATAACAGAATAACTTTTCATACGCAATGCTCTTGTACCATTCCCCTAACATTATCTATACTACTCAAGATTGACTGAATGCACATATGTAAATGACTCATAGCTTCCATAACCAAGATACGTCGCTGTAAGCAACAGCCATATTATTCAACGAAGTGGGGATGCTGCATTGTTTATTCACGAGCATTTCAGTATCAAAGTACTCTTCTCAACATAATCACTCCCTGGCCAACTTTGCGGTAAAAACCTAACCACGTGCGCTTTCTAAGTGCCTCTTAACAACTTGTTGCGGCAGGTGCATTGGCGTCGCATAAAAGACAGAAGGTTCCCTGTGCCCGCAGCTTCAGCGGTGACCTCGACGTGATACAGGACGCAACGATCGGACGCTACAGTGGTGACCCGATGAACACGCCCTTCGGCAAGTTACCGGCTGCCATGCTTCCGTCACTCTCTCCACCAGTGCCGCCGCTCCACGACTGACTTCGATGACCAAGCTTCGCCAAGTTATTTAGTTCATAAAATTATAGCGACAGTTTACACCCCCTAGCGCACGACCTGTGGCCCCTGTGGACGCTCTGGTAAGCTCTAAACAAAAGTTATGGACCATCTTTATGAAATAAAACATGAGGGGATGCGAAGCAGTAGCTGTGAAAACGGCGTTAACCCGGATGAAACAGGTGCTGACACGGGTGCTGAAAGAAGGGTTTGAAGCGAAGCTTCATGTAGCGTTTACTTGAGTAAACATTGGTTTTACACTTAAAGAAATCAGGGTGGCTGGGTTTTGTGTAAGTTTCATCACAGATTAACGACCGGAAAGAATGTTTACACTCGACGTGCGGTAAGCGTAGCAGACGATGGAGAGGATGAAGTTAGTGAGAAATATGTTGCAAGCGAGTGGAATGTAGGGTGACGTCGAGCATGCTGCGAGTGAAGGAGAGGGTGACGTCCAGCGTCAGCGTGCACCTGTGCGTGAAGTGTTGGAAGCCAGCATGGCGTCAAGGCGCAGCTGCGACTGGCCTGCTTGGCACCGCTCTTATCCTTGCAGTGATGGGAACGCGTTGTGACGCGTTCGCATGAACGTATACGTACGGCGTTACACACGTGAGCCAAAGAGATGCTTTGCATATAATGAATTACAGCATATTCACGGAGTGAATGATAATGAGTGAGGCGAAGAGTCTATGGTTTCGTCCATGCGTACGTTCATCCGTGCATCCTGCATCCATGCATCCGTCCTCGTATTATTTCTCGCATCCTGTCGTCCCCGCCTCTCAATCGTGCCGATGAGCACGAGCAGCGCGGCCTTCCACACTCGGCGCTCCTCATCGTCCATGAGCAGCAAGCAGGATCCGGAAAGCGCACAAATAGTCTGTACGTCAACGATTCAGTAGAATGAAAGCATGGGATGCCGGGTCGGCGAAGCAGGGATCGCAAAATGGCAACGTAACTTTTAAATGCGGAGCATCTTTCAGTGAACTTCGGCGAATTTGCGCACATCTATCTATCTATCTATCTATCTATCTATCTATCTATCTATCTATCTATCTATCTATCTATCTATCTATCTATCTATCTATCTATCTATCTATCTATCTACCGATCTATCTGTCTATCTATGTATCTATCTATCTATCTTGCCCCCTATGACTTTTAACTCTTCTGGCCGTTTCAATAATGGTATCAAATCTAAACTTGGTATGGCATAACATGACTGTATGAATAACAACATATTTGACTAGTCATAAATTGAAAATTACAACATAGATGTCATGAATGCCATAATTTACATTTCACGGTCCTGAACCTCTTGCGGTGGTTTCGTTCCCATGACACACTGCAAAACTGCTATAGTAAGGTATGATTTCATGGCGAACACAAGTGACCGACTCTAACATGACAATCATGACATGCGTTTCATGTAACAACAAGACTACATGCCAAGCTCATGATGCGCTCGCAGACGTTTCGCTAGTGCCTTATATACCAATTTTTGCAATTACGGTACGTGAATGGATGACGAAGTAATGTGACTGGTGCAGAGATAATAAACATTACATGCGTGTCATGTACCTCCATGACTACAAGCTACACTCATGATGCGCTCATGGCCAGTTTCGCTAGCTTTACATATGCCACATTTGGTATTACGTGACGTCAATGGATTTCGAACAGGCTGCTCAACAATTGACCACATTCATACTATCAATCAGGTAATAGAGAAATGCACAGAGTATAACCAACCACTATACATAGCCTTCATAGATTACGAGAAGGCGTTTGATTCAGTAGAAATATCAGCCGTCATACAAACACTGCGGAATCAGGGCGTAGATGAAGTATATATAAACATTCTGGAAGAAATCTACAGGGGATCAACTGCTACTATAGTGCTTCATAAAGAAAGCAACAGAATACCAATCAAGAAGGGTGTAAGGCAGGGGGACACAATTTCCCCAATGCTATTTACTGCGTGCTTACAGGAGGTTTTCAGAAGCCTAGAATGGGAACAGTTAGGGATAAGAGTCAATGGAGAATACCTTAGTAACCTGTGCTTCGCCGATGACAATGCATTAATGAGAAACTCGGGGGACAAATTGCAACTCATGATTACGGAGTTAGACAAGGAGAGCAGAAAAGTGGGTCTTAAAATTAATCTGCAGAAAACAAAAGTAATGTACAACAACCTCGGCAAGGAGCAGCGCTTCGAGATAGGTAATAGTGCACTTGAAGTTGTAAAAGACTATGTCTACTTAGGGCAGGTAATAACCGCAGAGCCGAACCACGAGATTGAAGTAACTAGAAGAATAAGAATGGGGTGGAGCACATTCGGCAAGCACTCTCAAATTATGATAGGTAGATTGCCACTATCCCTCAAGAAAAAGGTATATAACAGCTGTATCTTGCCGGTAATTAGCTAAGCAGAAACCTGGAGACTTACAAAGAGGGTTCAGCTTAAATTGAGGACGACGCAGTGAGCAATGGAAAGAAAAATGGTAGGTGTAACCTTAAGAGACAAGAAGAGAGCAGAGTGGATTAGGGAACAAACGGGGGTTAAGGATATCATAGCTGAAATCAAGAAGAAGAAATGGACATGGGGAGGGCATGTAGCGCGCAGACAGGATAACCGCTGGTCGTTAAGGGTAACTGACTGGATTCCCAGAGAAGGGAAGCGGGTTAGGGGGAGACAGAAGGTTAGGTGGGCAGATGAGATTAAGAAGTTTGCGGGTATAAATTGGCAGCAGCAAGCACAGGACCGGGTTAACTGGCGGAACATGGGAGAGGCCTTTGTCCTGCAGTGGACGTAGTCAGGCTGATGTTGATGATGATGATGATGATGATGACGTCAGTGGATGACGAAGGTATGTGACGGGTGCAAACATGATAATCATAAAATGCGTGTCATCTGAGAACATGACTACATGTCAATGTTAAGGCACGCTACATTTCGAAGTGACGCGGGGCGCGTACACACCAGCGTTCATTTTGTCGGGTCATGACGGCATAGCCACGCCAGGCACCAGTCCTGCCATTAATGCGCAGGCACGCACCGCGCTGCGTTGCTTTGCCGCATGCGCGTTTCAGTGCGTCCGACGTCTCTCCGTCACGAAAACAGGAAGACGCAGAGTTGTTTGGTTAACGCATCTGTTCGAGGTGCAGCATGTCGCATTTCGCGCCGGTTGCCGTCGGGCCACGCTGACGGACGCTGGTCGCGCCTGGCGTCAGACTCTGATGATCATGATATCTGGGGTTTAACGTCCTAAAACCACCATATAATTATGAGAGACGCCGTAGTGGAGGGCTGCGGAAATTTCGACCACCTGGGGTTCT